TGCATGATGTGGCCGATTTGCTTCAGGGCAGCGCAAAGAAGTTCATCGAGGAGATGAGTGACATTACGGAGTACAAGCATGCGGGTGATAAGTTCTGGAGGTCCGGATTGGCCTTGGACGCCAGCGTCACCGACATCACCACTTGTGCAGCCGCTACCATCGGCCACATCAATCCAGAGGGCATGGATGGAGTGACCCAGAAGCTGCATGAGGCAGGGCTCCATCTTGTTTGTTGGCGTGTCAGATTCAGAATCTGATAGGATCTATGGCCTCGGGCCTAGGGCCTAGGGCCTCGGGCGGGTAGGATCTAGGGCCTAGGGCCATCTAGGGCACCCTATACTCTCTACAGGCCTTAAACCCTTTTTACACAAGCTTGATTGGAGCTCGCCTGGCCTGAAGGCGTGTAGGGCGAAACGAAATTGTCCCCAAACGAACCTGTTTTCCAAGCCAGCGGTTCACGATATATATATATATATATATATGGAAACCCGCCCAGAGTGTAGTTCGATTTCAGTGCCGTTTGGAAGAGGAAGTTGGAGCCCATAAGTGTTCATCCGTATTTTCATGCCAAACACACAGCAAAGCAGTCAAGAATGTGATGATGACCGCTGTGACGTGTGGGAGGTTGAAGCAGGACCCTGTGGTGAGAAATACCACAACGGAAGCAACAACATCCCAGTACGACTAGCAGATCAACAGCTTGCCAAGTGCCTCCAGCAGCTTGCGGGCCGATCATATCGCTACTGCTAATTAGCCGTGACTGTGATGTTTGGCTATCAGAGCGCCTACGAAACCATTTTAGTGTTGTGGATGTTGATGCTGCAACTGCTGCTGGGTGCGACGCTGTCTCGTTGTCATTCGGCTTATTCTTATAGTTATAGGCCTGTGTCACCTGTGTGTTGCATGCTCAGACTTGTGCCGTTAACAGCTGGTCTTAGTATAGGCTGAGTTACTTCACTCGTTTGGTCGTGTGCTTGATTTTTAGCAGGTCGGCCATTGCCTGTCCCCGGTTCCTTGATGTCCGTATGTACTTCGTACGTTCGCATTCTGCGTCGCTTATATATCTGGGTCACTACCTTGTAGCATCCGTTTCTTTCTTTTTTCCGCGCTCGTTCCGTGTGTTCGAGTTTCCTTACATTGTCACGTGTCATTTCTGACCACTTACTTGACTCATCAAATGTAGGTGTTGTGGTGTTTGGGTTCTAGGAAGATGGTACTAGTGACCAGTGTTGAATACGATTGGAGGGCACCCTTTGGCGATCAGGTCGTCAACTCATGCTCCGAGATTTACCTCAAGGCCAAGTTCCTGGGACAGCAGGCGAAGCCGGCTTTGGAGACACTGAAGCAGGCCCATCATATCGCAAAGACGGAGTGGAAAGGTGGTGTGATTTTTCGTGTGGAGGGCCTCTTGCTCGCGATCTTGCTCGAGAACGATCAAACCAACAAGGTCCGCCTCGCACGAAAAGAGATTGCAGGCCTCGCCGGGAACACCCGTGGCATCGGCGCCGATGATGTTCATGTGGCCATCTACAATTCGGTGAAGAACTTGCTGCCCTCGTGAGCCTATGTCGTGACCTGAGGCCGTTGAGGAGGCGACATGCCCCACCAATTCTCCGTGCGTGTGTAGAGTGTATGCCGTGTATGCAGTGACAGTGTGTGCCGCTCGAAGGCGGTTGACCGACACTTCTGTGGGGATTGGTCTTTGCATCACATTGGGTACGTCGCTAGGCTCACAGGCTCAGTAGGTTCCTATTAAGCCTAGGCTTGTCGCGTGCCTTTCTGTTGAGTGACAGTGCAGATTTAGCTACAATCAGCTACAAGCTACAAGTACGAGGAGGTGTCATGTGCTGCAACACGTCCCTGGGACAAGGTAACCTTGGTCTCTAGCGGCTACGCCGCGTGCCTTTTAAAGCTTCGCTTAAAGCTGACACTGACACAAGTCTGCGCGAGTGTGTTGTGGACGTTCTGCGACTCTGGTCTAAACTACAGCCTACACTCACATATGGCATATGGCTTAGGCCCAGGCCCTAGGCTGAACCATAGGCGTTAGGCAATCGGGTTGATGCAGGGAGTCCTCCACGACAGTACCGTGCAGCTACAGTACAGCTAAAGCTATGGTCAGCTGGCCCATGCCACACTTCGTGTGCAGATTCGAAAGCAGCTGCTCAAAAAACAGCATTTCTGAGCCTCAGAGGTGATAGAGTGACCCCTTGCTCATACATATATTTTTTAGTGAAGATATTTTCATAATTTCATACCGAAATATTTTTGCCTCTGTAGGAAGAGGCTTTGGTATATATGCATTTATATTCCGTTCATTTGATGAACTTTCGGGGAAGGGGATCTGACCACGGTGCCTTAGTGATTGCTTGCTACTGCTGCGCCCACACGCGATTTATTCGTCCTGGCTGTCACTGGGAAGCCTTGACCCCGAAATTTGCTTTATTGTAAATGTCCTAAATTGCCTGCTGCTGTCTTGAGCCATAGCTGTATCCATAGCCGATATCCTAAATCCTCAACTGCCTTAACTGTAGACCCAAACCCTGAGTACTAAACCCTAAGGCCCTAAGTTTGGCTCAAAACCGCGCTGCTCAAAGCGGGAATCGGATTGAAGCTGCTAGCTGCTGGCTGCTGGCAGTTGTGTGTTTGCAAAGGGCCCTTCATTGTGTCTTCCTCTCGTTTCTTTACATTCCATCCGGTTTCCCCTGACACTTGAACTTTGCTTGTTTCCATTGGCGATCTTCCGGGTCATCGTTTCGCCCCTCGTGTTTTTCTTTTCGTGCGCGTTTTTCTTTCTGCTGTTGCCCTTGTTTCCTTTTGTTTTCCGCTTGTATGGCTCCTATTGATAAGACCTGGATATGATTACAAGTTCCTTGTGTTTCTTGTTAATTTATCATTTTACTTTGTTGTTTACTTCCTTTCTTGCTTTTCTTGGTCTGTTTGCTCTTTGTTAATAACAATATGTTTATTCTCATTTCAGTCATTTTTTGCCGCTTGGTATGTGTCCTCTGCTTTTCCTCTTTCTTCTACGGGTTTTTGTTTTTTTTGGT